TCAAGGATGACCGTGTCCGAACAGGCGAGAGCTATGGGGCCTTCGCTCCATCCTGTCCCCTGTTTCTGCACAGTCGTTGCTCCCTTGTGTCCAGCTGCATGGGGGCATGGGCATCACACCGTGCCAGTGGCGGCCCCACTCGGGGGGACCTTCCCCCATCGGCACCAGCAGTGTCCCCGGCTGCGGTCCTCTGGGATGCTGGGGCATCACCATCCCAGCATCACCCGTGCCAGTGGCGGCCCCACTCGGGGGGACCTTCCCCCATCGGCACCAGCAGTGTCCCCGGCTGCGGTCCTCTGGGATGCTGGGGCATCACCATCCCAGCATCACCATCCTGGGATCACCGCAGGAGCGGGGCTGGCAGAACCAGCAAGAGATTTTTCTGGGCAGGGGCACCGGCCCAGCTGCAGCGGGGAATCCCCTCTGGGCAGAAGGGGAAAGTTGCTCCCAGTGAGGGTTTGGGTTCCAATGGGGCCAGATCGGGACTGGGGACCCCCCAGCACTGCCGGGTCTCAGTGGCCCCAAGCAGCCCTTGGCATCGCCAAGACCTGGGGGGGCTCGGGGGCTTGGAAACAGGGCAGAGGGGTAAAACTGGAGTGAAACGAGGGTCCGGATCCATACTGGGAGAAGGCTGGAACCCAATGGTCTTTGGGGAGGCAGGGACAGAACAGGGTGTCCTACACGTCAGGAAACAGGAAATGTGACTGTCACCTGTGATTTCCCCATTGCGGCTGGGCACGGGGGACACGGGGACGCCTGGCAGGACCCAGCTGAGCAACAGGAAAACCAGAGACGTGAAATATTTCCAAAGCCGCCTGCAAAGGGTGATGTGTTTCCGTCTGGGGGTGTGTGAAACCACTCACGCAGGGCCAGGGCCAGGGTGGGAAGAAGGGCTGGGGTAAAGTGGAGCAGACCGAGGGGTGCTGGGGGTGTTGTTCAGTGTCCACCTGCAGCACCGCCCATTACCTGGCACAGCGTGGATACAGTGGAGTGATGGAGGGGGGCTGCCTACTGGCCGGGGCAATGGAGACGCCAGGGGACCTAGAGACGCTGTCACCCCTGGCCCACACCAGCCTCCCACCCCACACTCATGCTGCTTTGTGCTCCACAGGCAAAATGGAGTCCTTCTCCTTCAATGGGGATTTCTCCAACTTCTTCTCCCTCTACAATTACACCTATGACTACAGCACAGCCATGCCTGACACTGCTATCTCCTCCGCCCCGTGCCGGCCCGACAGCTCTGTCCTCAACAAGTACCTAGTGGTGGTGATCTACTGCCTCGTCTTCATCCTCAGTGTAGTGGGGAATGGGCTGGTGGTGCTGGTGGTGACCTCCAGCCACACCAACCGCCCCCCCACCGACGGTGCTGGTGGTGACCTCCAGCCACACCAACCGCTCCGTCACCGACATCTACCTGCTCAACCTGGCCGTGGCGGACCTGCTCTTCGCCTTCAGCCTGCCGCTCTGGGCCGCCTACCGAGCCCACGAGTGGGTCTTCGGCACTGTGATGTGCAAAGCCATCTCCATGCTGCAGGAAGCCAACTTCTACAGCGGCATCCTGCTGCTGGCCTGCATCAGTGTGGACCGCTACCTGGCCATCGTCTACGCCACCCGGGCCGCCACCGAGAAGAGGCACTGGGTGAAGTTTGTCTGCTTGGGCATCTGGATCTTCTCCGTGCTGCTCTCCCTGCCTGTGCTGCTCTTCCGTGAGGCTTTCCCCTCACCCAGCAACGGCACCGTGTGCTACGAGCGCATTGGCGGTGAGGACACGGCCAAGTGGCGGGTTGTGCTGCGGATCCTGCCGCAGACCTTCGGCTTTGCCCTGCCCCTCCTGGTGATGCTCTTCTGCTACGGCGTCACCATTCACACCCTCCTGCAGACCAAGAACGCCCAGAAGCAGCGGGCCATGAAGGTCATCCTTGCTGTGGTGCTGGTCTTCCTCATCTGCTGGCTGCCCTACAACATCACGTTGGTGAGCGACACCCTCATGAGGACGCGGGCCATCACCGAGACCTGCGAGAGGAGGAACCGCATTGACACGGCCCTCTCCGTCACGCAGGTCCTGGGCTTTGCCCACAGCTGCATCAACCCCATCATCTATGCCTTCATCGGGCAGAAGTTTCGGAACAGCTTCCTCAAGATCCTGGCGCAGCGCGGGCTCATCAGCAAGGACGCTGTGGCCCGCTACGGCCGCACCTCTTATGTCTCCACCTCTGGAAACACCTCTACCACCCTCTGAGCCTTGCTGGGACCCGACCCTTGCAGCTACCAGCAGGTCCCGGCACCCCATGCACCTCAGCATCCTTGCCCAGCCCCCTGGGATGCAGGCAGTGATGCCACAGGGATGGGCAGGGCCACCACTGGATGCTGGACCCTGGCTGGAAGGGCGCTTGGGCGGCGAGGGGGTAGGACCCCATTGCCAGGGGAGTGATGCCAAGCTCCGCCCACCCTCCCTGCTCTGTGGGGCAGAGCCTGTGACTTTGGGGACCCTGCAACCCCGCTGTGGGGACAGTGTTTGTGGCTGACGGCCGTCCAAAAATAAAGCAGTTGGCAGGTTGGTCACGCAGGTCTGGCTCCTCTTTGCCACGGGGAGGGAGATGGTGGGATGGGGCCAGGGCACATCTCTGGGGACGGTGGGTCCTGGGCTCCCCACCTCAGTGCCAAAGCGGCGGCGCCAGCTGAGCCCGGCGAGGTGTGGGTAAGCCCGCTTCCAGGCCAGGGAAGGGCTGTTGCCCAAGAAGCTGTTGCAGAGGGTTCAGCATCCTGTGTGTCCCCAGAGGGGACCCAAACCCAGGTCTCGCTCCCTGCAGCTGCCCCGCCCCGGCGCTGCGGTGCCAGGACATTGTTGTGCAAAGGGCTGGGAACCTGTCCCTTACACAACCAGGATGTTTCCGCCCCGGCTTGGGCAACTGGGGCTGGCACCAGAGCGGGGCAGAGGGGCTGAAGAGAGGGCTGTGACCCTGCTGGGGTCCCTCCTGCCACCCTGTGTGCCGGGTATAGGGGTGCCTGCCCCAATGCGCCCAAGCATCTTTCCACGGGGGTCCCGTACTGCTGTTCCACCCCCCTGCTCCAGGCTCCCGGGGGTCCTTAACCGTGGGGGCATCAGTGGGTGGCAGCCATGGGCTGACTCATGGGTGGGCACAGGGGTGCCCCGGCACCCAGGTGGGGAGCCCTGGGGACTTGGGGCTGGGCAGGGTCAGCGGGGATGCTGGGCAGGGACAGCCCATCACCTTTGCGTCTGGGAAACCTCTTGCCCAAGCAGTTCCTTGCAGCCTGGCAGGAAGCTGGGGCTGCAGGCCAAGAGCCATCTCCCCTGCCCGCTGCTGCCTCCCCACTGCAGCCGGGGCAGACGGTGGCTCAGCCTGGCTGCAGCCGGGACACCCCTTATGGGGACGGTTCCCCCCAGGAGGGCTCGGACACCCCCACACCAGCATCCCCCCACGCTGCACCCAGCCTAGGGGTCAATCCGGCGACAATTGATAGATGACATGGGAGCCATAGGGGTAGCAGGAGCGGGTTGTTTTCCTCTCCATGGACCAGCCACAAGAAAGACACGTCTCAAACCCGAAATGTCGGGCAGCAGGACCTGCCTGCAGGCCCCGGATGCCTGGGTCGCCGGTAAGTCCAAGAGGAGGCAGCCAGGGCAGGGGGTGTCCCAGGCACAACGCGAGGGCTACAGTCCCTGCTCACGTAGCCTGTGGGTGCCTTTGCTGGTAGCAAAGCAGGCAGCAGCGGCCCTGCTTGCCCGTGTCCACGGAGCACGCGTGGCACACCTTGCCCTGGCACAGCCTGCCGAGAGAGGGGGCAGTGAGAGCCGTGCCGTCCCGGTGCCACCCCCAGTGCTCCCCGTAGCCCACCTGCAGTTGTACCGCCGGGAGAGGAGGCGGAAGTCCTTGCGGCAGCGAGCGCACAGCCCTGCATCGTGGGATGCTGGGCTGGGCATCGGGGTGTCAATGCCCTCCGTCTTCTGCCACAAGGCATCCTTCTCCCTGTGGGAAGGTACAGGTCAGCCCCAGCGGGAGCGTGCTGAGTGGTGGGGGTCCGGTAGCATGCCCTGGCACCCCAGACCCATGGTGGGCACCTAAGTCTCCCCCTGGGTCTCCCGAGGTGGTGAGCAGGATTCGCCCGGGCTCTGGTGCCCTCCTCTGGGCAAAAGGGTTTGGGCCCCCCTGCCCGTGCGTGGCCCCACACCGGTGGGGTCCCTGGGGATCTCACCGCAGCAGCTCCAGCAGCCGCCCCTTCATGTCACGGATGAGCTCCTGCTGCCGTGCTTGCTCAGCGCCACGCATGGCCTCCCGCTCCAGGGCCTCCCGCTGCGCCCGCTGCAGCGCCGATGCCCAGCGCTCCCCGTCCTTCCGGGCCCTGGCACGGGGCAGTGGGGAGATGTCCCCAGCTGGCCGTCTCTCCCTCCCTCCCTCCCTCCCTCCCTCTATCCACTGCCCATCCATCCCCAAGCTGGCTCCCCATCCTCACAGCCACCTTGCCATCTGCCGGGCCAGCCACCCATCTGTTTCCCAGCCGTTCATCTGTCCTTCTCCCCACCCATCCATTCATCTACTCCCCCCTAATTCATCCCTCCGTTCCTCCATCCACTTGTCCCAAATTCATCCCTCCATCCCTCTGTGTGCCTGCCCATCAACTTATTCACCCCAAATTCATCCCTCCATCCACCCCTCCACCCATCTACTCACCCCAAATTCATTCTTCCACCCCTCTGCCCACCCACCCCTCCACCTACATATTGGTCCCCAAATTGACGACTCCCTCCAGCCCTCCATCCCCAAATCCTTCCCTCTCTCCCCCTGCCCAGGTCCTGCTCCCCTGGGCCCAAGTGGGGCATCGTGGGGGGGCTCAGGGGAAACCCTGTGGCAGATGGAGACGGGGGGGGACCCACTGTGGGGTGGGGGGTGGTAGGAATGGGGGTCCCAGCCCGACCTGCTGAGCTGCTCCTGCAGCCGCACCACCTCCTGCCCCTGGGCCTGGAGCTGCTGCCTGCCGCTGGGCCTGGAGCTGCTGCCGGCTCTGCCGGGCCTCCTCCCATGCTGTGGCGACCAGGGTGGCCAGGCGCTGTGGGAGAGCGGGGGCTCAGCCCTGGCCCCCTGACCCCCTGCCTCACTGTGGGGTCCCCTTGGGCTTGCCCGTACCATGGCCATGCCAGCAGCTGTGCCGGGGCCC